AGAATCTCACTCTGTCGCCCAGGCTGGAGTTCAAGTGGCACGAACTGAGCTCACTGCAACCTCTGCCTCCAGGGTTCAAGCGATTCTCCTGCCTCAGCCTCCTGAGTAGCTGGAATTACAGGCGTGTGCCACACACGCCCAGCTAATTTTTGTATTTTTAGTAGAGATGGTGTTTTCCCATATTGACCAGGCTGGTCTTGAACTCCTGACCTCAGGTGATTCACCCACTTGGCCTCCCAAAGTGCTGGGATTACAGGCGTGAGCCACCGCGCCCGGCTAATCAAGCTTTTTTTCTCATAGCTAATATTTCTCACCTCATAAAATATTCTTCTATGACGATTTTTAATGATATGGCATACTTATTCCTACGGATGTGCCATCATATAATGCTTAATAATATAATGGCTAACCAATGGTCTAGGGTTAGGCATTTAGTTTGTCCCTACTTCTTTGATTACCAGCAAGATTAAATATTTCACGTGTGTTGGTCATTTAGAGATGTTCTTTTGTGAACTACACTTCCGCGTCCTTTGTCTGCTGAAAAAAGCCTGCTTATTTGGAGGTTTATCTTTCTTACTGAATGTCAATTTTTTATGTGCAGAAATTGCTTTTTAATTTTGTTTGTAATAATCTCTAACATAAAAGTCTAAATTTTAGCCAGGCATGGCGGCTCACGCTTGTAATCCCAGCTCTTTGGGAGGCCGAGGTGGGCAGATCACTTGAGGTCAGGAGTTTGAGACCAGCCTGGCCAACATGGTGAAAATCCGTCTCTACTAAAAATACAAAAAAATTATCCAGGCATGGTGGTGGATGCAAAAATTAGCCAGGAGTGGTGGTGCTTGCCTGGGCGACAGAGGAAGACTTCATCTTAAAAAAAAAAAAAAAAAAAGTCTAAATTTTAAAAGTTTGTGTAGTCACATGTATTCATGTTTTATTTTGGAATTTATGCTTTTGATGGTACATGTGGAATGGTCTTTCCCACCCCAAGATTATGTAAATCGATCTATGTTCTATTATATTTTTCTCTTTGATCCATCTAAAATTGTATGTTGGTATGTGGCACTGGTTAGTATCTAACTTAATGTTTTTCTTTTTTTTTTTTTTTTTT